TATATTAAAAAATAACAATGTTAATCCATTCAATTACGTTTACACAATCAGTGTCTCTATGAATCTAGTTCAGCATTACATATTTCGATGAAGGTGAAACGAAAGTTACCACATCTGTCATCAGCGAGTAACTTTCAACCTGCGATCCAAGAAAGTTCGGCGTGACATTTCTCGGCATCTCTGGATGCATCATGTTGTCCGTCAACTCGGGTGCACTGGCAAATTCTTCAACGCCAATGGTGGCCAATAAAACGTCCAACGTCTCCAGATTGAAATTGGGATAGCTTGCTGGGTTGCTTGTTTCGGTGTTGTTGGTGTTAGCCACTGCAGTGTCCGGTGACCAATTGCTCATGCTTGCTGGGTTGCTTTGTCCCGTGACTGTGTGACCTACTGGAGTGTTTGCTCCAAAGTTTCCATAGCTTGCTGGATCGCTATGTCCAGTGTTTATGTATACTACAGCGCTGCTTACTGCAGAGTTGGCAAAGCTTACTGAATTGTTTGATCCAGGATTGCCAACAAATTGTAAGCTGTTTGAAACGGCATTACACAGGACTGGCACCTGATTCCACATAAGGTTGTCACCAACACTTGATAAGTCTCCAGGGTTGCTACCAACTCCAGTGTCTCCAGATGCGTTTGACATGGGGCTGAAGCACTCCTGGGTAGAAGGATCATTTGACCCAGGGTTGCTACTGAATCCAGTGTCTCCAGATTCATTCGACCGAGGATTTGCGTAAGCTTGGGCATGGGAGTCAGGGCTGGGCCACTGAGACATTATATGAAGTAGGCAGCTGGTGGACAATCTTCAGAGATCTGTGAATAAATAAATCTTGATCATCTCAATTGCCAGAAAGAGCACTAATCATATGCTGGTATTTAGCCATTTTCCTTAATAGCAATTTATGAACAATTTATTGCTTGTTTTTTAACAGTACACAAATTAGAATACAGCAATCGACACTAACAGTTGTCCGATTGCCCCGGGCAAGTAAAAGTTTATGTCGGACAAGTCATTCTCTTGGCTAGTTGCCTGATCAGACAACTGAAAAATTCCAGTTGTTTAACACGTTCAACGCTGCCTGGTTAACAATGCATCTACCGCCCTGTGCTGAGATTTTCGCGTTTTTACCGCTTAGTCACCTATTACACAAAATGTTTTTGGCAGGTTTAACTAGCTATACAATTATTTATAATTAGTGGCTAGTATAATATAGATATAAACTTACTCTCAGACAT